GGCATCAAAGCCCCTCCCTTTCTGAAAAGCTATCAGATCTGAATGGTCATTACAGCATCATGAAGACAGTGCATGACCTTAGTGTCATCTTGACTAAATTAGAGGGGACAAATATGGGCAGTTCACCATAAAACAATAGACTTCCTGTAGTCAGGGGGCGGGGCTTAGGTGATGTCAGCTGTCCACATTGTCACTGTCTTCAGATGTGGTCAGTGATCACACAGTCAAAGTATGAAATTGATCTGATCATGCACATGGGAGTTGTTAAGTCAAATAAGGTAATGGCGACTGGTCAAAGTTTGAGGCTTAGCCACGCCCACACCTTTATACTTATTTAAAATCCGACGGTTGAATTTTTTCCTCTATGTCTTAAGAGTATATAGCAGAAGTTTGAAGGTGATCGGTGGAAAGGGCGAGGAGATATCATTCTCCTAATAACGTGTGCGAAAACCACTAAATTGAGTACTTGGACCAAAATGTCCGACCTCCTGTGCGACATTGCGCTTGGCTCCAAGAGACTTTTTTGTAGGTCCTGATACACTACATTAGTGTGCCAAATTTTGTGAACCTCAGTCAAAGCATGGCTTGGGGCTGACTGTTTTAATGGTCCTAGGGGGCGCTGTTTCAGAAAATAGGCCACGCCCACAAACTTCAGCTGTCCAATTCTATTAGGGGTCAGAGTAGGATCACTCATCAGAACTTGTGTGGCGATGTCACAATGATTGAAGAAATGAGAGACAAACGTATTTCCATGTCGTGATGGCGAATTTTGCCATGCTCCCAAAGCCCCGCCTTTATTCGAAACCTGCCAGTACTATAGACTAAGTGACCTCAACTTGTCTGCTGCTATTTGCAACTGTTTGGTGGTGATTGGTTAAAAGGAGTCCAATAGGGAGCTGTGAAAAAAAGAGTGGCGTGGCGACAGGTCAAAGTTTGAGGCTTAGCCACGCCCACACCTTTATACTTATTTAAAATCCGACGGCTGAATTTTTTCATCTATGTCTTAACAGTATATAGCAGAAGTGTGAAGGCAATTGGTGAAAAGGGCGACGGAGCATCACTCTCCAAACAACGTGTGCGAAAACCACTAAATCGCGCACTTGGACCAAAATGGCCGACTTCCTGTGCGACATTGCACTTGGCTCCAAGAGACTTTTTTGTAGGTCCTGAGACACCACATTAGTGTACCAAATTTTGTACTCGTCAGTCAAAGCATGGCATGGGGCTGGCAGTTTTAATGGTCCTAGAGGGCGCTATTTCAGAAAATAGGCCACGCCCACCGGATGTTCACATCACTTTTTTGGGGGGGCCGGACTAGGATCACTCCCAAGATGTTTCGTGGCGATATCTCTAGAAATGACGAAATGGGAGGCAAACGTAAGGCCACGTCGGTACGCCTGACTTCGCCGCGCCGCCACAGCCCCGCCTTCTTCAGAAAACTCCCATAAAGTGACGCCAAGCAACCCCAACTTGTCTTCAGTTACCTGCTACAAATTTGGGGTGATTATTTGAAAGGGCGAATTTTGGGAAATTTCCTAGTAAAACTTGACCTTTTAAGTCCTGAGGGGGCGGGGCTTATGTGACATCATCAATCGACCATTCATTTGTCTTCGGAGGGCGACGCCAATTGTCCATAGAACATTTCTTTAACTGTAATTCTTTCATTTATGAATCTATAGCAATTTGAATTTTTTTGGCGAGTGCTCGAACTTTGAGGCCTGGTCCCGCCCCTTCAGTATTTACGAAAAGTCAATTTTATTGTCTCATTTTAATCGTCCATCGCTTCTGTTCGATCGCACACTATTTTTGAGACGATCGTGCGAAAATTGACCAAACTGTTCAACCAAATATAGACCCTAGAAATGGCCAAAATGGGGTCAAAATGGCCACTTTAGTCCAAAATGGCCGACTTCCTGTTTGATATTGACCATGGGTGCAAGAGGCTTTTCTGTGCGTATTGTTGAGTTCTACAAGTGTACCAAATTTCATCACTCTACTATGAAAAAAGGTCAAAGCGGAGGGGTATTTTTAATTTTCCAGGGGGTGCTGTTGAAACAATTTTTTACCAACTTTCACGTTGCCAGTGAAATACGTAAATTTCACGCACTTTCTATATTGGGCCAGAATTTGGTGAGTTTTTGGATATGCTTAGACCCCCTAAAGGCCATCCAATGACGCGGAAGAAAAAAAAAGAAAGAAAAAAAAAAAGAAAAAAAATAATAAACGGAGCAGATACAATAGGCCTTCGCAGCTTCACTGCTCGGGCCTAATAAACGGAGCAGATACAATAGGCCTTCGCAGCTTCACTGCTCGGGCCTAATTACTCTTTTGTAATTAACCAACATCTTTAAGTTTTAGTACCAAGCTGCTCTAAACATTTTAAAACATAAATGACTTTTCTATCTTTATGTATAAAGTCTTGATAACTGCACATCTGAATTTTAAAATGCAACAGTACATTACATGTACTGTCTGAGTTAATTTTTTGGAGAATTTTTGCCATATTGATTCAAATGCTTCTCACACACCCATGGCAACCAATACATTAACATTTTGTCAGATGGAAATTTTGACCATAGCAGCACAGCAGAGCTCCATGTCTGCTCCTGTGTGTCTGTGCCGCTAGCCGGTGTTGTACCATATTTTGCAGCCATCAGATTCTGTTAATAGGAAGGAGCCTGTAGAAAGGGGTCAGACATTTTAATTGTTTTTCTTCAAAATGTAGCTTGCTTGAGTGCTTTTTTCCAAGGTTGAATACTGCATCTTTACTGTGTGCTGCTGTCAGGAGTCAAGGCTTAAGTTCTGCTGCAGTGGAAAATAGGATTATTTTGTTTAAAAACTTTAATGAAAGTGTGTGTGAGAAAGTGTTTGTCTTACTCGTCTGATTATGTTTACCTGAAGACCTGGCTGCTGTTCAGGGAAAGGTTGTGAAGCAAACCTCAGACAACCCAGTGGCCAGACACCAGTTCTGTCATTGAACCTTGAAATGCCTCTGCTCCACAGAATGCCACAAACTGGAGTTTGTTTGTGAGCATGTGTGTGTGTGTGTGTGTGTGTGTGCACAGGCTCCCTCCATGATGTTTTTTTCCTCTCAGGTCTATCAAGGGGATTGCACTCCTTCGTGTTGCCTCACATGCCCTCACACTCTATAAGTCTGTGATAAAAGAAGCTTTTTGTCCATCTTTGTTTCCCTGAGTTTAATGGAACGGAATAATGGGATAAAACCTCTCGTCTCTTAGGTTTTCTTGCCCACAAGACAGAGATATACAATTTGAGTTTGCTGCCCATGTGTGTGGTGCTTCACATTTTAAAGAGGTTTACTCCTGTTGATATAAATCTTTTTTTTTTTCACTTTTTTCTTATTGCTAGAACTGAAAGGAAGTTGTATCTCACTTTGAGTGGATTGATTTACAGGAAGGTGCAACAGCTTTAAGGTGGTTTTGAGTATCTTCCTTTAAAATGACTACACTTTTTTTTACCTAAAGTGCTCTTTTTTGAAGAAAAGATCATTCACAAATGGCAAAAAAATGTTTTATTTGTAAGAAGGTTTTAATGAAATAGCAATAGCTTCTGTTGAGTTTTGCAAGTGTTGCCTCATTTTTAAACTCTAATGTATTTATATGCCATGCTATTTTACACCACCCAGAGCAAACATGGGCACAATATATGATAAAATATTACCGTTAGCACTATTAATATTTCATTTTTTAGGATATTTTTGTGAGCCATTTCTTTAACCCGGAGAAAAGACTCTTGGATTTGACGAAACCCCGCCTTCCTCCATCTACAATAGTTCACACCTGTTGAGCCGGAGACCACAGATGCATGCTGACAAGTCCCAGTCGGTTGTCAATGCACTCCACTCCCCGTAGAAGAATTCTCTGTCAGGGCCGCTAACATGCACACACACACACACACACACACACGCACGCACGCACGCACACACACACACACACACACACACACACACACACACACACACACACACACACACACACACACACACACACACACACCCCTGCTTGGATGAGGATAAGGTGTCTGTCGGTAGCAAATTCCTGGCCTGAAGTACTGTTCCTGACACTCACCAGCCAAACTTTATAACCATTCAGCTAGCAGTTATTGGTTACCATTTTAGTTGTACTCATGGCCCTGGCCTATCCATTGGTGGTATTAATGTTATAATGGTGCCAGTAAAGTAGTAATCCATCTGAAAACCCTCTCCGGTACTGCCAATTGTTTAACAAGCAGTCTGTGAATTCACGAGCACATTGTGGCTTGGTTTTTGAGAGCTCTTGAAGATTATTTAGGAAGACTGCAGATGGATGCTCTTCTTATCACAGACAAAAATCCATTTTTGGGTTTGAGGCATTATTTAAAATGCAGACTAGATGAGAAAGAAATAACTTCATTACACCTGCTGAGATTAAACTCCCTGCTAGCTACTCTGAGAGATTGGGTGTTAGTAATGACAGTCCAGGGAACGAGGGATCTGGAATCGAGATGACCTGGAGTGGGATGAGCGGACGCAAAGATGGCCCCATTCAGCTATCTGCAATAGCTTAACTTAGTTAGGCACAGTTGAAGTAAAGAAGAAGCTGAGATGGAAAAGTGTTTTCCAAGATGAATTAACAATAAAGCATGGTCAAAAGCTCCAAAAGGTGTATTTTGTATGACATAGTTAGTCCCTTTAATAATGTTTTCAATGACTTTTAGCTGGACCAATGTGAGTTTTATTGAAATGAAAGATGAGTTTGTATTCAGGGCAAAGCTCGGTTCTGTACTTGACCTTTTCTTTTGTTCAGAGTTCAGATCACCAGGATGTTGGCCCCCCACATCACACGTGTAACACGTTTAAAGAGGACACAAATTCTCAGGACAGTCAGAGTCATGTTTTGCTATTAGCCTCTTCTTAACAGTACGCACCATATTCTGAAGACCAGAGTCAAACCAGCAGAGCTGTGGCACTCACCTGCTTTCTGTCTCTGATTGTGTTCTAGCTGCAGGGCGGCCCTCGTGGCCGGGATGCCGCTGTGTGCCGTGTCAGTCCACAGTGGACGGTGAGGGGCAGGACGAGGGCACTGAGTGCGGGAGACTGACAGGAGGCGGTCCCCACCAAACCGGAGAAATGAACCTCTGCTGGAACGAGATCAAGCGCAAGTCCCACAACATCCGGTAAGAAAGAACCTCAGCTCGTTAGAACATAGGAAAATCTAAATGAATGAATGATTTTAAAGAAATAATTTATCTGCTCTCCTTTGTATTGTCTCTGTTCCCATCTGTGCTGTACGGTGGCCCTGAAGTGCAAACCACAAAAACAAATCACTTAATGCACAACAAATTGAAAAGCGCAACAAATTCACTAAACACAAAAACAAATTGAAAATACAAACCGGAAAAGGTAGGTACCAATGCTGCAACAACAGGCATCACTGATTGGATGATGGATCCGTTGGCCTTTTGAACCGGAAGTTGTTCTGCCGAACGTGGTTATGTTAAAGAGCAGTCAGCGGGTGTGTCCGAGGTCCGAATCCACAGGCAGGATGCTTACGAGTACGGGTCCTCGCCGGTCTAGCAAGGCCGGGTCCTTGCCAGACCGCTAAGACCAGAACCCAGCGGCTCTGAATTCGGACAGTCTAGCCTTCACCTCTACGGTGACCCGTAGGTCCCGTCACAGCCGCCCGTGGCGGCAGCTACACGCAAAGAAAAAATGCTAAAGCTAGCGAAAATCGAGCAGGAATATTAAGGAGCTACAGCAGCTTCATGTCCATCAGCAGCGTTTGTTCACAAACGTTTTCAGGTAAAGTAACTTTGTTTATTCTAGAAGCTTTTAGGACTTACATGTAAACTTTAGATGGTTTAATGTATGTTTTAAGCTACAGAATGAACTTGTTAAACGTACACAACACATTACTACTGGCTCAGTAGTTCACAGAAAACCTTTTTAGCTTTGGTTTTGAATAAAAGCTACTGTTGTGACCAGGTAATGATTAAAAGTTCATTGACAAAAAACATTGTTTAACCTATCTAATAAAAATGATAGAGCATTTCCCCAAACTATACCAAACTACCACCAAATGATGCAACTGTACAGCCTTTATAATGAATTACATTAATTTGAAATATCTTGTTTTCAGCTGACTCCTGCACAAAACTACTTTGATTCTTTTCCACTCAGCTTTGGTTGGGATGGACATCAGGAAAAAAATGTGGAGAAGTGAGGAAATTTTTGGTTTAAAAGTGGAAACGGGAAACTTTCAGCTATTTTGCTGTCTTATTATTTTAAACCTGCTTTTTCGATCCTCTAAAATGGGTTATCAACCAAATTTGTTCAAGGGCCAGAAGTTTTTCCAGCAGACACCGAGAGGGGCAGATGCTCTTCTAAAACAATGTTCAAGTATTATTGTATTTTGATTTAGTAATATTTAAAATTGCTTTATTTTCCATCTAAACTGTTTTATTGTAGTTTTAGTTGTGTTTGGAGAACGTAAACAAATATTGATATTTGGGACATGAATTTAGCAGCAAAATTTCAAAGTTTTAATTTTTTTTAAAATATCTACTGGGTATATCTAAATCTGAGACTGTGGTCTTGATTCGGGAAAAGGTAGAATGCCTTCTCCGGGTCAGGGATGAGGTCCTGCCCCAAGTGGAGGAGTTTAAGTATCTCGGGGTCTTGTTCACGAGTGAGGGAAAACTGGAGCGTGAGATCGATAGGCGGATTGGTGCTGCATCTGCAGTGATGCGGGTGTTGTAACGGTCTGTCGTGGTGAAGAGAGAGCTGAGTCAGAAGGCGAAGCTCTCGATTTACCGGTCGATCTACGTTCCTACCCTCACCTATGGTCATGAGCTTTGGGTAGTGACCGAAAGAACAAGATTGCTGATACAAGTGGCCGAAATGAGTTTTCTCCGCAGAGTGGCTGGGCTCTCCCTTAGAGATAGGGTGAGAAGCTCGGTCATCTGGGAGGGGCTCAAAGTAGATTCGCTGCTCCTCCACATCGAGAGGAGACAGTTGAGGTGGCTCGGGCATCTGGTAAGTGCCTCCTGGACGCCTCCCTGGTGAGGTTTTCCGGGCATGTCCATCCGGGAGGAGACCTAAAGGTAGACCCAGGACACGTTGGAGGGACTACGCCTCTCATCTGGCCAGGGAACGCTTTGGGATTCATCCAGAAGAGCTGGCTCAAGTGGGTGGGGAGAGGGAAGTCTGGGCCTCTTGACTTAGGCTACTGCCCCCGCGACCCGACTCCGGATAAGCAGATGAAAATGGATGGATGGATCTATTGGGTTGAGGTCAGGGCTCTGCCATCACACGAACATCTGGAGTCCTTGATTTAGGGTGTCTCTGTACTTTTTCTAGTATAACGTATCTATGTCTTGTCTAGCTATCTGCAACGGGAAAAGTAAACCAAAAATGTATATCTATAGTTATGTTCTCATTTTTCTATATTTTCACCCAACAATCCATTTCTTGCCTTTTTCCAGTGTGAAGGTATTTTTAAAAAAGGGTTTTGTCTAACAACGTGCTGTCAGATGATGCATATTTTACTTCATCTTCTTCCAGCCATCACATTAATTATTGATATGATGGTAAATACTTCTATTGTGCACATGAGCTGTTTGTCAGTGTGAAGCAATTACAGGGTGTCCACACTGGTCTTTATTGCTTAATTGGAAAACGTGCCGACTTGCTGCATCATTTTTGTTATTTTCAATTCAACTGGCATCCTGTTTAGACAATTGGCCCCTTAATTGCTTACTTGACCCTGATGTAGGAGAACAGGAAGGGGAGGAGGGCTAAGGGAGAATGGTTGTTAAATTGGGTAAGACAGTTTCCCCTGCAGTCCTGCATAATGAGATCACTATGCATGGCCTGCAGTGGCTGTTTATATCCAAACCACATTCTGGCTGCATCAGGCTGAGACAGGAAGAGAGGAAAACAGGGACGTCAATGTTGGGGCGGGGGGTAGTGAGAGAGAGACAGCAAGGAGAAACTGACGGCTAGTGTTAAATCATCAAACAGGAGAGATGTAGAAAATTGAGAAGGGCAGGATGAAAACGGGACCAAAAGACTGAATGAATGAATGAGAAAGAGCTTCAGCGAATAGCTGTCTAACCTTGAAGATAAGTGCTGTCCAAAGGAAACACCTGACTGCGTTTGATGCCAGTGGCCAGACAAGTACAGACAACTGGTTTTATAATGGCCTGTCTAGAACTGATTGACAGGAGTCTGACTTTGTTACAATAAAAGTCAAAGCAGCTTCTTTCCATCCTATAAACTGTCATGCGTTGTCCCTAAGGCTACATGCTGGCCTGACTGGAATTAATTTACATTTATGCTGTTACTGTCGTACTTATTTGTAAAGAGGGCTGAGATTCTAATATTCTGCTGACAGCTATGTGAGTCAATAATAAGGCATGAGAGCTGTCAGCTAAATGCTAACTTGAACATCTTAAAAAGCTCACAGGGACAGTGTGACATATGACAAATGATTAGGAAACTAAAAGTTGAAGTATACTTCTGTTACGACTGTACCAGTGTGAGAGGGATTGGATTGAGGGTTTTGTAGTATCGTTGTTGCACCCTTTATAGGAAAAGTGCTTTCTAAATAAAGTTTTAATGATTGATTGATGTCCTAATTTTGATTATTAAGGCAACAGGATCATCTATGCAGGGAACCTTGATATCCCTCTTTCTAGTATCACTCTCTGCAGAGTTTTCCTGGGGATGGGTTCGTTGGGCAGTCTGGCATTGGGTTGGGAACTGCTGGTCCAGCCTGGAGATGCTTGGATGACTGGACCAACATAACATTGTCCTTCTAGCAGCCATGTGTGGGGCCCCAGGGGTTGGGCCTAGGGCACTTGTGTGCTGGCTTGTATGTTGCCGTTGGCGTGGGCAAGTGCCTGACCTTGGCCCAAAGGTCTCGAGTGGACCTTGGTTCCTCCTTAATTAGCAGGAATACTTCTAATTTCCACCACAGGGCAAGGGGATCTCCAGGAGGGGGAGAATCTAGCTCTGCCTGAGTGTCTGATGTCTTATGTAGTCTGGAAGTTGATCAAATGTGGGGGTGAGAGTAGGTATTCTACTGGGGTGGGGCTGAGTGGATGGCCTCGGACTCTGAGATGTTGCTCCTGTGGGCCCTGACTAGAGAGGCTGGGATCTCCCTGCACCGGGTTGGGTTTGGGAACGGGGATGCCTACTCAGGGAGTTTTCCCCTCCACTGTCGCTAAATGCTTGCTTAGTATGAGGTTTGCTGTAAAGTCACTGACACTAGTCAGTGACTTGATGCAATCTGCTGGGTTCCTTATATAGAAAACGTTTTACTGATTGGCTTAATGAACAGACCTGTATTGGAATGTTTACTATGTGAAGTGACTTGAGACGACTCTTGTGATTTGGTGCTATATAAATAAACTTGAATTGAATAGAGTTGAATTGAATAAAGTGTCTTGCCCAAGGACACAACAGCAGCATTCTCCGTTCAGAGACAGGATTGAACCTGCAACCTTCCGATTACTGGACAACCTACTCTACCTCCTGAGCTACTGCTTTCCCAAAAACATCCCATCCTATCATGCATCAAGCAGGCAGAGGGAGACTAACACCTCAGTTCTCAGTTTGCTGCCCGGTGCTGGAGGCTAGGAGGGGAGATGGTTTTCTGGTTGGGGTCTGGTGTAGTGGGTTGCTTTGCCAGCTTTGGGCGATGTTGCCTGCTCATCGTTACACCAGTAAAAACGGGACCATCTCCCGGTTCCAGGAATGGTTGTGCCCTCTGTTTAGCAGTACCTGAACCGCTATGTGGGGAGTGTGAGTGGGTGTATGATGTGCAGTCTGGTGTGTCTTTACCTTGGATGTGTTTATGTGTGAGCATGAGGGTGGGGGGTGGGGGGGTGGGGGGGTGACTGTTAGGTAATTTAATTTATCGTTGTATTTTAATGTAGCATATTGTTCTCATATTATGTTGAGTATATTAATTTATTCTATTGTTCTCATATTATGTTGAGTATATTAATTTATTCTATTGTTCTCATTATCTTAAACTTAAATTACCTTAAAGTCAGAACACACACACACAGAGGGATTAGATTCTTAATTTAGTAATTTGTAATAAACCTTAAACAGTCAACAACTCTGCAAAGTGTGAGAATCAAACACCAGACAAGACGGTCATTTGTTC